AGATTTTATATAAATCACATATAATATTAACTAGCACAATGAAATGATCAGCTCTCTCTGGCTTCTGGAACTGGGTCCTTAGGCAAAAGGGGCTTTTTTATTTGACTATTTTACTTTTATCTGCCTCTGCAAATTATTACGTTATGCAGGAGCTGGTCATGACTTCCTAATTAGGGTTGAATTTTGAAATAGGACTGTGAGCCTCATGATAAGCCTGTTCTTCTCCACATGTAGGGTGGCCTTTCAATATGAAACATCACTTAGGACTCGTATTATGCAACGTGAATTTTTTTCTCTCTGTAGTTTTTGTCGGTTTCTTTTAATTAATTCTTAATACAAAGCGTTTGAAATGGTTCTCAGGGCAAGCTTCATTGTTTGGCATGCTGGACCTTTTTAATGGTGTGGAGGAGACCCACACAGTGCTATATTATTTCAGAACCCATGATTTTTTGCATTGCAGCGGTGTTTAAAAAGGCACTGAAGGCTGATTTATTATTGTATGGTTGTTACTGATTGCTGAACAGCCATTATTATTTATTCTTAAAAAAAAAAAAAAAAAAAAAAAAGGTGGCACGGGATGCAGTAATCTAGTCTGGGATGCTAAACCCACATCTGTGCCAAGCCACAGCCCCTAATTGCTGAGGAGGACAGGACAGGAGCCAAGAGAGGCTTCTTGAAATCCAAGCGAGCGGCAGAGCTGACAAGCTGCCAGGGAACTGAAATCCCATCTCTGCCCTGTGGAGAGTCCCCCAGGAGATTCGCAGGGGTGGCAGCCACCCATCCTGAGCAGGGAAGGCAAGGTGAAACTGGGAGAAAGCTAGAGTTTTGAAGTTTCTTTTATAAAAAAAAATGAAATATTTGCCCTGGGAGGGAGGTCCATCTGTGCATTTGCGTCCAGTGTACGTTGGAAAAGCTGGGGAAGAGAGATTCCTTTTTCCATCCGTGGTACCTCAGCTGTTATCCACAGCAACAGAGGTCAAGCATTTCAGGCGAGAGAGCGGATCTGGGAGAGTTGCATGCATCTAAAGAATAGCAAACAACCTACTTACAGGTGATTGGGGGCTGGGCTAGAATAGGAACCTCTGCAGCATTGACTAAATCAACTGAATATGACATTTAATAAGTCACTGGGAAAAAAACAGTCACCCCCAGTTTGCCTCTTCCACCTTACTGTCTCCTGCAGCACACCATCGTGGTTTGAGTGAGCAGGTCAGTGAAGCAGAGAGGATCTGGCTTGGGGTGGTGGTGTTGGGTCAGAGGACACAATTAATACTTTCAAGTGCAGCCTGCCCTTGCCCCAACTCAGCCCAGCTTCTTCTCAGCACAGGAACAAGAGGATGTGGGAGATGAAGTTGCAAAGCCAGGCGTACTGTGTCAGACCAAAGGTCTGTCTAGCCAAATTGTTGCTCGTGGATGGGTACAAGAGTGTGGCAAGCTCACAGTGATGCATTTAAGTCCATGTTTAACAGTATGCGTGAGCTTCAACGTAAAGTCTGCCAGCCTCAAAAATATTCATGAAAAGTGGCATTGGTAAGGTAGATTACCCCCATTTATAGATGGGGAAAGCCTCCACCAGTTTAGGTGGTTGGCCCAAGGTCAGCAGCAGAGCTGCCGGTGTACCTCATCTTTTGTGAGTCATGGTCCAAACTTCAAATGATCCCCTGGAAGAATGATCTCTGCTTGAGTTAGAGAACTTTAGAGGTTAAGACAGAAAGCAGGACTGTTTGAACAGCGCAGTGGGATTAATCCTTTCAGCAGCTGAGGCTGGAGAGCCCAGGGTGGAAGGCACATTTGGCTTCCTCTGTTACCAATAAAATTGTTGCATTTGGTTTTAATCTAAAGCAGAAGTCATCTAGACTAGAACTGTAATTTTTTCCTTGTGGGAACATGAATCCTAGCAGGAAGGAGCAAAAATTTCATTAAGGAAGAAAGCAGGACTCCTGAGATTCCCCGATGTGGAAGCAGGGAGTGTTCCTACGGTGCACAAAAGGCAGACGAAATTCTGAGGTTTTCAGAAATCATGAAAGTTTGCAAGCTTGCTGTTTGCCTTAGAGTTTCAAAGCCATTAGGATTCATGCTTTCAAGCTTTCCCCTCCCTCCCCACCCCCATTATGATTAGATCTTTCCTGCTTTATTTTTTAAATGAAAATTGAAATTTTTCTCGTGATCACTTGACTCCAGGAGGTAGAGCTTTAAAAATATCCTCTGTTGCCAAACTGGCAGGAGTGTCATAAAACTTGGTAACAAGCTGTTCCGGTTGGGTTTGGGAGAGCTGCAAAATACCTTTTCATAGTAGCAAGAAGGTAGGGCGGGAAGTTATTTTAAACTTCAGCCAACAGGGTTTAATACCTACATTGGTCCTGCGTGATTATCAACATACATTTGGTTTGGAATACCAGTAAAACTATCACGAGGATATATCCCTCAAAGGGCTCCCTGTGCAATTCTGTCCTTCCCAGGTCTAGCCCATTTCCTCCTCTGAGGACGGCCCCCAGGTTTTCACAGCAGAGCCCCCACTAAAATCAGCATCACTGATGTAAGTTGGCCCCCGAGGTCGCTGCGGCAGCCTTACGCCAGCATGGCAGTTACTCAGAAGCAGCCCTTGGACATTTACTTTTCAGCATGAAACACTGAACCGTTGCTCAATCTCAGTATTCCTGAAAGCTCTTCCAAGGCAGAGTGGGGTTTGCTGGAAAGAGGCATGTTTTCTAACTGGCTTTTAGGTGGTTGTTCTGAACAAGCCACGTTCTTCTGAAATTCGTTTCGGGGTGCCAGGAGAGGTTTTGCATGCTGGATCCCCCTGTCTTTGGGTGCTATTCGATCACTAGCTCACTGCCTTCCCTCACAGTCAGCCAGGGCTCAACCCGGCCTCCCCGTGCCGATGGAAATCCTACCAAGAAGCCCTTCAGAGATCCACGTGCAGTCCCGCAAGTGGGAGACGATATGACCTAACCCATCTTTGCAGCAGATGCCGTGATGGAAAACCCCATCCTGTGGGAAGGAGCTGGGGAAAGGCACGCAGTGCTGCTCCCGGACGTGCTGCATCTCCCAGGGGGGTTCCCTCTGTCCCAGCTCGGCGTAGCCCGGCCTGGCTGGGGTCAGTGACGTGCCCTTTGGCAGCACCGCAGGGTGGGGGACACGCAGGAGATGGCGTGGGCAGCGCAGGCAGGACGCCCGGATCCATCCCGGCTCTGCCGCTCGCTCGGTCAGGCAAACGGCCCGCGCTGGGTTTTTTTGATGCCTACACCCCCTCGGGTAAAGTCCCCGGTAGCTCCCCGACACAGGGCACAGACCTGAGCAAGGCAAAAAGCCTGGCTTTTTATTGCTTTGGGCTTGTTTTTTTTTTTTATCCCCAAAGTTTACGGCATCATTAACATTCTGCTAGAGAAAAGATGGGTTTTCTTCAAACATCTCGGCTTCTTGGCCTTTATAACTCACTGTAGGATGACAAAACGTGGGAGCTGTAAGAAGTGGTTTAGCAAAACATGATATTAGGAAAGCAGGGAAGGAGCATGGGCAGGTTTAGGCTTTTCTGCTTTACTAATTTACAGGAACACAGCCCTTTACAATCTGTTTAAAACGGAATTTAAGCTGAATAAGGGGAAAGTATTAAAAACTATTAACACCGAAACAAAGACTGAAATATCAGGTTAATGATGCCGTTTGATTTCCATATGCCACTCTGTGTGGACAGTTTCACTTTTTATAGGTAGATGTATTTTTATGTCTGAAAGTGTCCAGTATTTGGGGCTTTAAGTGCTGAGGAGAAAAGTTGCTTCATTTACATAACAATTTAAGTGATCTGTGTAAGATAGCGGTATTTCTGCCGGTTTTAAGCTTTATTTAATGTTTGTTTACAAACTAGCTGAGCCCAATTTGAGTGGATCAGGGTTATTTTAAGCAGGTTTCATTTGGGGGAAAAGGTAACAAAAGGAGGCACTTGATCCATATGTTGTGTGCAGAGCACAGCCTTGTTTAAAGGCACACAGGCTAGGAGGCAGCGTTAGCTTTTAGTTTACAGGTTCAATGTATGTTTTTTATTATTTGATGATGGAAAGAAAATTCAGTGTGCTGAAAGTGCCGCGATCCTTTTTCACTGCTTTTTGCAATTTCTTCCAATGTAGAGTATTCAGTGCCCAGGGATGCTTGACACCCCGTCCAAAGCTGCCCTCAGCCCCCCCCCGGTTTTAGGGGACTTATTCAGCTCATCTGATCTCAGCACGGTTTAGGGATCGCAATCTCAGGACGCTGAGAAAGGGCGTTTGCCTGAGTGAGAAAGGCTCTTCATGTGAAATGATGTGGAAAGCTGCTGTGAAATGGAAATCAATGCTCATTCACAAATCCTGGCCTGGGAAGTTTACAGAAAACTCAGTGCCACAACCTGGTTAGCCTGAGCTGATGTTCATATTCCTTCAGATTTCTAAACCAGACCTATCTTGATTTTAAATCAGTCACCTGTAAAGGGTTTATTATCCCTCCTCCCAGAGGTTTCTTGCTGTTTGGACAGACCCCAATTGGTGGTGTGTGGGAACTGGGACAGGCGGTGCTTTACACTAGTAACTGCCGTTTTCTTTAGGCTGGTCTGTTTTATATATGTTTTTTTTTGTTTGTTTGTTTGTTTGTTTTTTTTTTTTTTTGTAACATACATCTTGGATCAGAGCACTTGACAGCATCCAACAGTCCCGTTACCCTTTCACATGATTATTTTATATTTCGGATCAAAACTGTCAACACTTGAAATCCCTTTGCTTACAAGAGGAACTTGGCAGTGTGCAAGGAACCATTTGGAGCTGGTTGCACCAGTATAAAATCGGCCTGTCCGGGCCGTAAGCTGTTGCAGACACCACGGTGCATCGCTGGCAAGAGCGTCACCGTTGCTGTGAGGGAGTCGATCCAGTATCTCCCAGGGTCATACAACCCAAGACCCATCCTGCTTTTGCTCGTTGGCTTCCCGATGCTTTTATGAGTAAGCCTCTTGCTCTCCCCTCTTCTCCTCGCAGCTGTGGGTAAACCAAGAAGATGGAGTGGAGGAGGGAACCAGCGATGTGCAGAATGGCCATTTGGATCCAAGCGCCGACTGCCTCTGTCTCGGCAGGACCGTTCAGAACCGAGACCAGATGAGAGCCAATGTCATCAATGAAATCATGAGCACAGAGCGCCACTACATCAAGCACCTCAAGGACATCTGCGAGGTACAGGGGGGTTGTGACGCTGGGGTACTGCAGCAGGACATGGGATGGGGTGTGAAGAGCTGAGGACCGGGGTTGTCCTTGGGTGATGGGGGAAAAAGATGCAGTGTGTGAGTGCTGTGTCTGGTAGAGGAGCAGCAGCTGTCAATAAGTATCGATACTTCTGAGAATTTTCTGCTTGATCTGATAATTAACTAAGACTACCATTTTCTGACCTTTTTTTCCCATACCTCTCTGACTAAAAAATGATGAGGTTGAGATCCTTCAAGCAGTCCTCTTAATTAAAACCCAATGCCATCTACTTTTGAGCTTGTGATTGAGGAAATTAGGTTGTAATTAAACCAATCAGTTACCCATTTCGTCTGTGTCTTTCATGTTGGGTTCACAACTTCCCCTGTCTCGGGCTGGCCCCCATTTGCCTTTTCTTATGATGAGATTGAGAGCGAAACGTTTTCACCATGGGAAATGAAGTACATTACATGAATCCAGTGTAAGGGAACCAGCAAGCAAATGAACTTTGGTGACTGACCCCGTGCACCCTCAGTGTGGTTCTTCATTACCTTATAGCTAACCCCTACAACCCCTTACAGTCCTGCAGTGTGCAGAATGAGTGCCGTGAGCTAAGCCCAAAGTGCAGTGCATGTGGTGCTGGGTGTTTACGAAGGGGAGCGAAAGGCTGCGCCAGAGAGTGTTTGGGCATTACGTGTAGAGCATAGATTTATCACTAAGAGGCAGAAGTTTGTTAGCACTAAAATGAAAGCCCATGGCTTTCAGCTTCATCCCTCTGAACGTTTAGGATTTAGGAAGCCTGTGCCCAGTCTTTGCAGAGTCAATGTGGTGAAGGCCCTTGAGAATTCTGCTTAGAAGGATGTCTTCCTCCCTTCATACTTGCTGCTTTTCTATTGACAAGGCAAAGCAGCCATCCAAAAAGCATCTATGACGCTTTTCAAATATGGAAGAGTCTTGGGATTTCAATCTGGAAACAAATGAGCTTAATTTCACTGTGCTATTTCAGTCAGAGGGCTTTGCATTGAAGAAGGGAAGAACTGCAGGAACTTTTCCGCATATTGTTTCTTTTCCTGCATTTGCACTTTTCGGTTGAAAGACTAAATAAACCTTATCTTGCCTTTCCCAGCCATGTCACCCTGCTTTTGCCAAATCTGATTCTCAGGAGGTACAGATAGTTATAGCTTCAGTGACATCTGTGGGGTAACATTGATTTACAGCACCTAATGATATGTCCCAGATGTGCAAGAGATCTCTAAGGCTCTTTCTTTGCTTTGTGTGATGCAAAATGGTATCGAGGGGATAAATCTTAGCTCCAGGTAGAGCACCAGGAAATGATTCAGCTGCCTTTCTTAAAGAAGGAGGAGGAGGAGGACTGAAATGGGCATTCTCATCTGCAAAATGATGGGCTGTCCCTTGCTGGAGAGAGCCTCATGGTGCTCAGTTTAATCAGAGCAATCCGTTTGCCTCGAGAAGGCTCCGAGACAGCTCTGTCGTCCCAGGCATTTCGGCATAGCGTGGCGTGACTGCTTCTGGTTGTGCGTGAGAGGAGAGGGGCTGGGGCTGGGGAGACACGGGCGGGCTTGAGCTCCTCCTGGTGCTACTGGATGGGTCTGTACAGAGGCGTTATTTATGCGGAAGAACGAGTAGGTACCAGACAACCGCTGATGAGATGCAGAAGCGCTGGTGACCATGGCAAATTCCCCTCTTCCCTTTGCTCTTTATTTCAAGGTGTCAGGACAAAAACCAGCAATATGAGGTATCGGAGGGGGTGAACGAGGGGTTCTAGTTGTGTAGCAAAGGTTCAGCCTGATTTAGGACTGAGTTTAGAAGTGTGCAGTTACAGTCTTGTTGCTCAACTATAATGAATAACAAATCCTAATACCAGTGAGGTACCTTAAGGTGTGTGGTTGTTATCGGAGGACTGTAGCCCCTGCTGGGTGATTAAGAGCCCTTCAATTGCTCTTTTCTGCTTCAGGATATATTTCCGCTACCTGCTACTATATTATTATACACCATGTTATTATTTGCAATACCCATGGCACTAGTCCTGCCAAGTCAGGAGCTCACAAGCTAGCCAGCACCAGAATGAGAATTACCGGCGTAAGCCAAGACCTGCGTGAGGCAGCTGGCTTGGAGGGGAATTCCCTGTCACAGCAAAGCCACCCTGCCCTGACAGCCGCTGCTGCTGTGCCCTGGCTTGGAGTCTGGAGGAGTGACTGCTGCTTGGTGGAAGTTTTGTGAAGATTTTTATTAGGGGCAAAATGTGGAGTTTTCCCTGGATTGCATTATGAGGAGCGGATGGATCATTACTCTGAAATATCAGAAAGGGGAAAAGAAATTAAAAATACTTTAGCCTTAAGGAAATATCCAGCAATAGGAATTTCAGGCTTAACGGCTAGAGCTTAGAAAAACAATAAGCTATCGAAAGCAGGGCTTTTATAGGGGGTTGCAATAGCCAGCCCTACTGGCAGGCAGAGCTGCTCACTCACTGTCCTGCAAAGCATCACGTCCCTGCGCGGCCATCTCCAGGCTTGAAAAGGTGTCCCCCTGCTCCTGGGATCTGATCCGGGGAGGATGCAGGAGGGCACAGGGTCTGTCCGTGCCGCGGCACCGGTGCCGCTGGCAGAGCTCGGTCAGGGCAGGCGCCTCGATGGGAGCCGCGGGCCGGGGAGGTGGTTTGAGCTGCAGGCTCTGGTGGGGAGCGCAGGTGGAAGAACAAGGCGCAGGAGGGCTACGAAGAGCAGGGTGCTGTGCTTTTGAGAAATGAGCAGGATTTGGACCAGCATATGGATGAGGAAGACAGGGCTAAATTTAAGGAGGTGTTAGAGGGAGAAGTGACAGAGCTTGGATGGGAACAGGGAGGCAACTGGGAGATCAAAGGAAACCTCCGTATTATGAGTAATTTTGGGGGTGGGAGGTTAGAAAGGCCTGCCAACTTTCAGTGCTGCGTTTTCCTCTTTTCCAAGTAATTTCACTTTGAATTTATTTTTTAATAACGTTGACTAGATTCCACCTAAGCTCTACTTTGGTGCCAGGACAGCTCTGAATGCCGCATGGAAAGCATCCTCATTGCATCTTAGTGTGTCAAGCTGAGCCTGTTGTGCAGAGCTGATGGGACAAGTTTTCACGTGGTCTGGGTGGCATTAATGCCTGACTCATTTTTGGAGATGGAGAAAAACCACTTTTTTGTGCTGCCTCAGAGCGAAGCAGCATAAAACCTTCTTGGCAGCAATGTGACCCTCCTTCAGAGACCCACATCTGAGGAGCTGCTGGCCCCTTTGTGTGACCAGTTTCTCATCCGTGGATACCAGACTGGAGGCCACCTCTGCAGAGAGCTCTTTAGATCAGTGGGGATGTATATACTGTATCTATGGATTCCCCAATGTGCAGTTTGTAGCTGTCTTTCACAGCCTGCTTGTGCACACCTCATTTTTCTGTTTTGGAGCTGGCTGCTTCTTGCCCTGTTGAGGAACAGGCTTGTGTTCCTGCAGGACTTTATATCTTTTGGTGGGCCCCAGCGCAATCATAGTGCCTGACATTCAGTACTTGCTGTAGACTGGTATTTAAATAAGTGCTTCAGAGTCCTGCCTGCCCGGCACCAGACGTGGCTCTAGTTTGCCTTTCCAACTCAGTCTCAACTCAGTTTTTGTGCTTATTCTTGGTACGTGCATATCAGCACAAGGCTCTATCAGCACTGCTCTAGAGAATGATATTTTTATAGCCCAAAGGGTGCTGGTCCAAATTTGTGGGATGGTTGGCAGGACAGCATAGACAGCTCCCTGACTGGCTCAGAAGCAGAAGGAAACTGGAATACCATCACAACTGCCTTTGAAGTTATAGCCTGCCATGGCTATCATCTCCTCATTCTGTCCTTCACCTTGCTCTCAGCCGGACAAGAAGGCGGCTGGGTGGTTTGGCCACCTCTCCTGACTGTCTCTAAACCAACTCCGGGGTGGAGGAAACTTAGCATGTAACTTCCTCCAAATACTTTCCAACTTTGGCCTATACTTCAGGGACTACATGGAAAAGCACTTTAAAGAGAGACAGTTTGACAGCTATTTTTAGGTATTCATTGAGCAAAACACTCTCCAACATCTGCTTATCAGTCAGCTATCCCTTTTCTGAGCAAACCTGATGGGATGAACAGAAGGAAGATGACATTGTTTTATGTAACAGAAGTAAATTTACTGGAAAAACTATGCAGCGGCCTTCTAGCTGGCTCTTGCTGCATGTTCTGTATAAATCTACAGTCTCCCCTTTGCTGGCTTGTGCTGGAAACCAACCATCCAAATGCACAAGCTGGATAGAGAATAAGGCTCAGCAACTCCGTACGTTCTTTTCTTTTCCCTGTGGTTTTATAGGTGCCTGTACAGAAATGTGCTGCTTCAGCTTCTCTGAAACGCGTGACTCAGGCAAAGTGATGAAGCAGCACAGGGAGGACGGGGGCACTATTCAAGACGGTCGTTGCAGCCAATAGCAACCCCAGGGCCGAAAGATGTTCACATAAATCATCCAGTGCCTGATTTCACAGAACAACGTGCGAGTGGGGAGGCTGGCTCGCCGGCAGCCTGCAGCAGGGCAAAGGTCTGAACACAAACGGCTTGCGGCAGTCATTCAGCGCTGCTGGCACCGAAGCCGGTGTCAGAAAGGGCCTGACCTCATGGGCAAATGCACTTTTTTTTTTTTTCTTTTTTTTAATTAAAAAAAAAAAAAAAAAAAAAAAAAAAAAAAGAAGCCGTTCTGAGATAAGCAGGTAAACTAGAAAAGCAGCATGGAAAGACATTCTGCGTTGCTCCTCGCTAGTTTGAATTTTTATTTGCCCTGCAATGTGGGAATCGGCCTGCTCCCATTCCTCCTGGCCTTGAAAAACGAGAGAGGGAAACCCAGGGAAATGAGTCATCAAGGAGCTCCTGGAAGAAGAGAGACCTAGATTTAGTAAGTGCAGAAGGTATTCCATAACCCAAGCTTCCCAGCTGAAAAAAAAAACATCAAATTCAGGGTAACAGCATCCTTCTAGCTAAGCTGGACATTGCCGAAGTTGGTTCTTTGCCAGGTTGGCCAAAGTTGCATTTATCAGTCATCTGTTTGAAGCTCTCCCTCCCAGGAACCACATGGTGAGGCTGAAGGACAGTTTATTATAGCGTTCCGATGGTTTGCATTGTGGACCAGCAGCTGCGTGTCACCAGCTGGCGGTTCGTCTGTGTGACTAAGCATCCAGAGTTCCCAAATATAGCCATTCAACTGGAGCTGTTGGCGTTTTTTTCCCTTCATTTTTTTCTCTTCCTATATAATAAAGACAGGCAAAGTCATCTCGTGATGACCCCCGTGTGACTTCTGTTCAGTCAAGAGGCCGCAGGCCAGACCAGGCCAGCGTAGCATCTGATATTTGGCCTTGCAAAGTTTCTAGTCTAAATCGTCCGGGCTGGTGAAGCACAGGGGGGGATGAAGTGATTTGCTCAGTGTCACGCAGGTCGGTGGCAGATCCCAAAATTCAGCCCAGGCATCCAGAGCCTCCCTGTGTCACCTCGTCCCCTGGACCACGCGTGCTTCTGGCAAGCGTGTTTGAAGAAGTCCTCACGATTCCGCTGCAACCAGGATGGCGAGGTCACGGAGAAGGCAAGGTCAGCAAAACAGGGAGGCAGACAGAACGTGGTGTGTTATGCTTTTCACCAGAATATTGATCCACTCAGTCTTTTTAGGTCAGGAGATCTTCAGAGCAGTGCCTGCCTACTGATTTGCGTTTGTACAATGTCCAGCTAAGCTCAGGCTCAGTACCGATGGGTATCGTGGGCGGATGCAGAATAAGCAAGGAGGATCTTTTTATTATTTCACTGGACTGAGAGGCAGGAGATCTGAATTGTTTCCAAATCTACTGCAGATGTATTCTGTGATTTTGGACAATTTTCTTAAAGTCTCAGCATCCTAGTTCTTCCTCTCTCTTTCTTCATTTGACTTTAATGTCTGTGGACTCAGTAAGGGAGCCTGATGTTTGTACAGAGAAGGCTACAAAGCCTTTTTCTCTGGTCCCACTTAAAAAGGGAAGAAAAGCAATGAAAGACGATAGTTGAGAAAACAGCAGAAAAATTCTCCCTCGTTTCACACTGTTTGGAATAGCATATTTGCCCCGATGGTATGGAGGGTATAGAAAACAAAACTAAAATATTGCTGCTTTCCTCTAGATGGCATTGATCAGCAGCTCGGGCTGCTCGGGCTGTGGCTCCCAGCCTACGGCGCTGCCTTTGGGGTTCCCCCCCCATGACACTCACAGGACAACAGCCCCCCACTTTTGTCTAGGACTCAGGAAGATGAATAATGAGAGGGGATAAACCGTGTTGCCTCACAAGTCAGGCAACACGAAGAGTTTTCCTTCAGCATTTCACTCGGTGCTGAAACAATTAGGATGGTTACACCCTCCATACCTTCTTCCCAGACCAAGGGCATGCAACCACACTAATAGAGTATTTCTCAGCACGATTATCAGCTTCCTTGTCCTGATTACCGTGGCTAGAAGGAGAAACCAGAGTGGGCAGATGATCAAACAGCCCTTCACAGCTTTCCCTGTAACGCCCTGTGCCGCTGAAGAGGAGATGGAAACAGCAATGCGTGTAGGAGCTACCCCAGGATATTGGGTATGGCAGGGCAGTGATTTTTGAAGGAACAGACATACAATACTGTAGCACACCTCTTTGGAGCTATCAGCCAAATTTTGCAGTTCTCTGCAGCACAGGTAGGAACTGTTTCAGGCAGTGCTGGTTGAGATCTCTGGGGGGTACCTCTCCTTTGCAAAACTGATTCATGCAAAATGCTGAAGGACATAGAGGCACAAGCCAGCACTGTCCTTCCAACGCACCGTACTGACGCTGTCTCCAGCATCTCCTGACACTGATTGTGAAGCCCTGGACATGCTGGGTCTGGTGTGCCCTGAGCAAGAGTAGTGCTGGGGGTCTGCTGTGGATTGCAGTGGGAACAGCAGTTGCAAATGGGATGGTGCCTATCGAAAAAGAACTTGCAGCATTTCAAGGCATGTTTTGCATATTGCATGCTTACCCATAGGCAGGAGTTCGTGGAGACTGCCATGTCGTAACAAGTGGATTTTGTTTTCAGAGCCATTGTCTGATTTTGTTTTTACTTGCTCCATCCTCAAGAAAAAACTGGGAGCAGCCTAGTAGAAGTGCTTGGGTTAATTTATGGATTGTTCTGCCTTACTCCTTACAGGGTTACTTAAAGCAGTGCCGGAAGAGGAGGGATATGTTCAGTGATGAACAGCTAAAGATCATCTTTGGTAACATTGAAGATATCTACAGATTTCAGATGGGTTTTGTCCGGGACTTAGAGAAACAATACAACAACGAGGACCCCCATCTCAGTGAAATTGGACCATGTTTCCTTGAACACGTAAGTTCATTTGGCATTTTTGTTTGGGCCTTTTGGGGTTGTTTTTTGCGGGGGATGTGAGAGGAATAGCAGAGAAAGTCAGGAGGCAGGAACCACTCGGCATAACTTCTGTGCAGTGCATCAGTACTGTTCTAGTTACATATCACACAATACTCCATGGCCTTCCGTTTACTTCATGAGATACAGGTGCAGGGATAAATCAAAGTGAAGCCTACATAGCTGGATAACTGCCCAATACATTTGAATCCCAACACCTTTTGACACCCACCCTTACATTATGTAGGTATGATGTCCCCCACCTACTCCCCACCTTATTTTGCTCTTCACAATATTATTTAAATGCACTTGCAGGCCATCCTAATCAGGTCATGGATGTCCAGAAGGATGGAAGAGGTAAGAATACAGAGAAGTAAAAAGAGGCCTTAGTTGTGTTGATACGCAAAAGATGTAGAGGAGAGCAAATGCCCGAGCTGTTTGCTGTGGCACTGAGATGCGTTTGCAAGGGATGAAAAAGCTTCAGTTGCCTTCCCCTGCGGAGCTGTTGGGCCGGGTGGGGAGGTGGCAGCAGATACTTGCTCACACTAAGTGCACACTGAACAGGACATTTTAGCTGATGATATAGTCCTGGAGGCTTTTGCCTAGCCCGTCGTACTGTTACATAAGCCATGTACTACAGGAGCTGATAAATTGGCCAGTGTTGTAAATATGTCAGGAAATGTCAAGAAAATTATGGTCCTGCAGTTCTAGGCTTTCCTTCAGGGAGAATGAAGTGCTGTATCAGAGCTTACGTATGAGGTGCTCCAACCTGGGATGCAGATCCTGTCAGGGCTGAGCTGGCAACAGTTCACTTAGTAGAGAAATTTCTGATAGACATTCGTGAAACTTCAGCAGGGCACCCCTAAAACGGTTCAGAGCACCTCTTAAGCATCATTGGTCTTCTAATTGAAAAACAGGTTTCTTTTTGAGAAGTTGCGTGATGGCGTTAACGTTGCTTATTTTTATCAGAGCCTGCAATCTCTACTGCTTGTTTCCAAAGCAGCATCGCATTCCACCCCTGTGCTAAAAAGATGTACAAAATCTTGGTGAGAATCAGTAGCTAAAACTTCATGTCTTGAGGCTGTGCTGTCAATTCATTTACAGTGACAATAGTAAGAATTACTAGCATTATTCGGAGGAATATCTGACACTTATCTGCCATCAGATAGGGACTGAAAATTAGCCCTGTTTAGCCATTTCGGGAAACTGAGGGATGAGGACATTAAGATCCTGTTATATGGATCTGCAAAGTGTCTTGTTCTACATCTGCTTCAGGAAGAGAGAAGCGTCAGTGCTTGGCTCTTGGGAGAGAAACGGGGCTCCCCTACTTCCAGAAAGACAGGTTATTTGGGCCCTTGTGGGACTGAGAAGTAAGAATTGCTGGTCAAGTGTATTTTTGACAAAAAGAACCTCTCCTTTCTGTGGTTTGCAAGGCGTTGGCCACAACCTGATGTAGCATCTCAGGCTGTTGAGCTACAACATCTGGGCTTATATGTGGGCTGTCTCAGCTGCAGTCTTATGTCATACTGGGCAGTCAGTTTGTGTCTGTCCCTCCCTTCCAGTGTAATCTTTGACCTTTTGTCTGCCTTGTCCACATGGCCCAGATGAATCAAGCCTGAGTTAAGGATGATGAACTGCCATGGCCCCATCAGTGGTCAGCGAAGGCAGAAAAAGGAGATTCCAACAAAATTGGCGCAGAATAACTTACTAAACCAGTGCAAAGAGTGGGTGGGCACTTGTGTGAGTGGTTTTTTTCTTTGTTTGTTTTTCCAGTCTTTGGTGTTTTCTGGCTCTCTGATCCTGAGGAAATCCAGCAGGGTGCCTTGGGTTCCCTGTTGGGTAAAAGGAATTTCAGATACACCCGGTCCCTAACCACATGCCAGGTGTTTCATGATCATTCAGGAGAAGAGCTCCAGAAGTAACAGGGTTGTCTCCTTGTGATGCCAAAGACCAGACCTCCGCTTGGTTCTACCTTTACCTTTTATAATGAAAACCTCACCGCACAGTTTGAAACCGAGAACACCCGCACTGCTGCGCAGGGGTTTTTAACACACCCTGTACCTCCCGAGACCTCGGCGATGTGTCGGTGTGCAGGTCCCTCTCTGCCTCCCTCTTCCCCAGAGCGACCATGCAGCTCCCCCTCCGAGCAGGAAAAGTACTTTGGGATTAGTCCATCCTCCTCCTGCTTGGGCTCTTCTTTCTTCTTGTAATGCGTTCTTGTTGGCAAGTCGGGTGGTTGCTCACAGCACTTGTCTGACATGTACTCCCCCTCTGTGTGCATCCCTTTTCTCCTGCCTCTCACAGCAAGATGGCTTCTGGATCTATTCGGAGTACTGTAACAATCATTTGGATGCATGCATGGAGCTTTCCAAGCTGATGAAAGATAGCAGGTACCAGCATTTCTTTGAAGCGTGTCGTCTATTGCAGCAGATGATTGATATTGCCATAGATGGTTTCCTTCTGACGCCAGTGCAGAAGATCTGCAAATACCCCCTGCAGCTCGCAGAGCTACTGAAGTACACGGCGCAGGATCACAGGTACGCCCATCTCTTGTTACATGGAAGGATTGTGCTCACTGCTTCTTTACACGGCCTCTGCACACATACAGGGGTGGGTTTTTTTCTGTCCAGCGCTTCTCTTCATGACATCTTGTATAAATTGAAGCAGGGCAAAGGTTCAGCAGACAGTTAGAAAGCTTCTCAAAGTGCTGATTCTCAATGGAGCCGAAGTCATCTCTGTTATAATCAGACATGTGAACTAATTACCCTTGGATGTACTTTCTGATGCTACCAGTTACACTAAAAAAATTACCTAATTACCATTCAGTGGTCAGAAAGGCTCATTCCTTTATCCTGAAGAGGACCTCGGCACATAGCAAGTAGAGGGCCAGGATCTGCAACTCAAACCTGAATATGCTCAGTTTTGGGGAGAATTCAGAACCTGCTCTGCTTTTCAGCCTGATTCCATCTCTGATTTTGCCACTGGAGTTAGGTACAGAGGAGCACCCAGCAGTCCAATTACTTCCCAGAATTTCCAGGATCTCTTTTGCTGCTGATGAGAGCAATCAAACCGACTCCCTGACTTAGTGTAAATCAAGAATAGTACCTATGATATCACTTGAGAGATACTGCTATAAAAATAAGCTGAAAGAGGAATCAGGCCCCCTAAGAGTAGATTTTCTTCTGCCTTGCCAATTTTCTTTCTTTTTCCAGAACCCATTTAAGAGGAAGTGCTTCAGAGAACAAAAAAGACCACAAATGTTTCAGAAACTTCTGCAAGTGTTTGATTTATTATTTCTTTTTGGTTTTCCTCAAGCCCATCTCTAGAAGTGCAGAGAGATGTGATATGGGCAAAGAGATGCATTGATTTGCTTTTCCCGATTCACGAGTTCAACTGATTTAGACTAGCTGAACGCCCAGTTCAAAATCACCAATTTGGACATGCGTTTGGTTTTAGATCCAATTTCTGGTTTTCCCTTTATAACAAGACCAAATCAAACTTGGCATGGACTCATGGGAGCATGAGGCTATCAGAAAGCAGCTCGAGGATCCCAAATGTTGTGGCTTTTTTTTCTTTACCAGCCATGCGATGTCCCCACAGTACTTACAGTGTGAATTCAGATGTGGCTTTACAACAGGAAGACATAAGCAGCCTCAGAGAGGAGAGATCTGTGTTTAAAACGACCTTCTCTGCGTTACTTGGTAGCAATACCACAGGGGATGTGGACAGTGTGATTACACGAGGGTTGAGTTATTTTGGGAGTACGTTCCTTTTTCCTTTGGGATGTTGTAAAATCAACATGTTGTTAAGTAATCAGATGTTCTGAGGAGACACGGACCTTTCCTATGGTTAAGCAACAATTAGTTGATTCAGACTGAGAGCTCTTTTTTTTTTTGACTGGATTGTGTCAGTGATAGGACACAGCCATGGACACTTCGTTTCTCTTGTTTCTTCGTTTTCTGAGAAGGGATAGCAGGATTGTATTTGCATTGATGAAGAGTAAGCCCCCTGAAGCCGTAACACAGTGCAGATGTGAAGCTCATGGCTGCAGAGAGAGGAAGCGCAAGACCTGTGCCTTATCTCAGCCCTGGAGCGTGGCGTGCTTCCATTAGTGTGGGCATGCCCTGGAGAGTTCAGTGACTCACGGAGGAATGGCGTTATAACGCAGAAATGGGGTGGGTTATACCACCCTTCCCTGTGGTTTGGCTCCTCTGAATCAAACGTTAAAAGAACCTGGGAGGGAGTGATTCTCCAGGAAACCCAGCTCACGTCCCAGCCAGGCTTAACGCCAGGGATGGGGAAAGCGAGGCACGGAGAGTGTCCTCCTCACCACCAGCTGATTCTGCACTGGGGCTGTGCAGAAACCCACGGCTGCCATGGTTCCCCGCTTGAAATGCAAACATTTTCTGCTTGTGTAACCCTGGCTTTGGGATCGGGGATGAGATGAGCAAAGCCTGAGATCAGAAAAGCAAATAATCATTAGGGAGTGTCATGTTGTGACAATATCAGCCACAGGGAAAAAAGCCAGCTACCTGCAGGTTGGGGTACGATCGGGGTCAGCTATGAACGAGAGAAACTGAGAAGTCAACTGGGGAGCTTCAGTAGGGCCCACGAGTCAGGCGGCAAGTTGTCCTCATGCACTTCCAGTCTGACAGTGCTCACAATTAGATTGCGAGTGTGAAACAGGATCTAGAAAATTAGAGAGTGGACTAATACTCACAATGAAATCAGGCTCATCACTGGCTGGATTAGAGGTCACTTAGGCAGTCTGATTTGAATTTAATATGTAGAAAATACCATTTAAATCAATTGAACTATTCACAGACTAAGGCAAAACTCAGAAAGGACCAGGAGTCCCAATGAAAGCAGATATGTTAACTTAATCTAACTGCGGGACGCTATGTTGTTGGGGTTTTTTTATTTCCTCTTCACTAATATCGTGCTTGCAGAGCCATCCCTCTTCCCTGTACCAGGTCAGGACAACAGAGCCGAAACCAGAAACCTGAGTGTTCTCCCCCAAGTTAGCAAGTGATATTTGGCAAGAGTCTAGACTTACATCCTGATTGAGCACTGGAAGGAGGTCATTGCAGCCCCAATATAATTGACAAACAATTAATTTCATAGTTAATGCTATCCTATTATTATTTCACTGGCCAAATGCTTTGCTTCTGTTATTTTTTCTTCAAAGTTTTTGCCAGCTCTGCCACAGACATGGGGCAAGAGCCCAAAAAGTTCAGCCGTGACTCTTTCTTCATTACTGCGTGAAAGAAAAATGTGCACGGGGTTTTCTCTTCAAGCAGAACATTAGAATTAGTGAATTAGCATTACCAAGATAAAACCCAGCCTGACTGGCACTGGCCCACTCTGCATGGAGGCAGGCACCGGGGTGTTTTCAGAGCCTGGCTCCCTTCAATTGCTTATTGTTTTGAGACTGGTTCATTTGAATTTTTCACAAAGCCACATCTGATCACCTCTTAAAGATTTACTCCAGCTTAATACGAATTAAATATAGGAAGGTTGTAAGTGCAGCTTGCTGGTGTCCTGAGCATTCCTGCTACAGAACTGAGCTGCAGCAAAGAGTGTTTGAACACGTTACGTGAGACAGAGGAGACTTTGCTAACGGGTGGACTGACATGAGCCTCCCTTCTCTGCACGAGCGTAATTGCTAGGAGATTATTAGTGACTCTTTAAACCCTACACCTCTCCCTACCTCTGCAGATCCTTTCTGGCCTTACCTGTTTCTCTACAAGAACTCATGGATATTTTGAAGACCAGGCTCGCGTCTCTCTGGCATAGCTCCACTTCTCCCTTGCACAACCAAGTGCTCACTTCATACAGATGGCCCCACACAGGAAGGCACAAGGATTTCTTCCTTGTGTGTCATGATGGATATGTCAGACAGCCCATCCTCTGTTCTCCTTTACTTTGTTGAAGGACCAGTCCTGATGTTCTGGAATTTGCAGGATTATTTTTTTTTTTTAACCTCAGATAGAATTTTGACATAAGAATTTAATAAAAATTGAAAATGCATCTCAAGATTTCAGCCAAGAAAAGATGGCAAAATAGCAAATAATATTCTGTTGCGTATTGTATTGTGATTGTTTCCTAATATTTATCCTGTTTGGATCACATGGGGAAATGGATCTAATTCACAGCGTTCACCCCTATTTTTGCTGTCACCAGTGCAATTCTTAGCAATAATCAATAAAGCCATTCCCCCTGCAGCTGCCCAAGATCACAGTTTTTCTCATTAGTCAGCAATCAATATCAACCCTTAAGTTAATAATATATTATGGTGGCATTATGGCAGCTGGCCTTGTCTGTCTTTCCAATTGCAATGAACATTAAGGTTCCTTGGAATGGAAAAGAAAGCACAGGGTGGAAATCAATAGCATTGATTTCAGCATCACTTTTTGAAAAGACTGATCATCATCTTTGCTGGCCCTGGCGGGAGGCTATTTTCACTCTTTGTTATTACACTCACAGGCCTGTCCAGGAAAAAAAAAAAAAAAAAAAATTACTTTGATTTGCTCACCTGAAGCCTGCAGTAAGACTCAATGGCATGGGATAAATGCTCTGTGGCACTCTTGGAGTCACCTTAGGACTTGGGAGGTGCTCCAGCCTTGTGTCTAATCAAAAGATATTTTCTAATGTTCATTTTAAAAACGGAAAAATCCAAGCCCAAAGACACAGGCTATAAAAATGTTCCGATTTTCTTTTAGGACGCTCTTTAGCTGAGCACCTTAAGACTTCAGAGAGCAGTATTCACAGCTGTTGTGCGTTGGGTTGGTAGAGGCTAGATCCTACTCGTTGGGCTGATGCAAACCAGCTGAGTAGCTGGCTGGCATCTCTCTCATACACACACCATTTCAGTTTCAAGCAAGCTGATCTTTTGTGATGGTCCAGAAAGACATTGCTGATGGAAAAAATATGGTGTCGTAGCAATAAGTGGCAAATCCTACCTGCATTTCTTTCTCAAAGTATGATGAGATTGTGCTGCTGCTAACGATAGGCTCCTGTGCATTTCCACGGCACATGGGGCTCCATTTCATGGACTTTTCTTTTGTGTTCGACAGTGACTACAGGTATGTGGCTGCTGCCCTCGCTGTCATGAGGAACGTGACTCTACAGATCAACGAGCGGAAGCGGAGATTGGAGAACATTGACAAGATAGCTCAGTGGCAGGCCTCCGTTCTGGACTGGGAGGTACAGTAAATGCTCGGCCCTGATTTAGGTGCTATAAACCTGGAAAAAGTAAATTCCGTGCAGCTGTTGAATGATCCAAGACCATATAGTTCATTTTACACAACCTAGTCCTGGGATTAAGCTTGAGACAGAGAAGACATATTTGCAGACTTCAGAGATGGTACTTAAGATGTAAAACGTTAATGGTACTCTGAAGAAAATCTAGGGCCCAGTTCCAATTTCATCAGCAGAAATCTGCAGTAACTTTTGCAGTTGCAATGTTGTTGTCCTGGCGGTAAGTGAGATTTGGATCAAACTCTTTGTGCATTCTGGCTCTGTGTTTTGTCGTTGGGGAAGACGTAGGGAAAGAGGTAGCAAAAAGCCGTAGAAATTGTGACAGGTTAAGAAAACGGAGAAAACTCTCCTGGTGGTTGCTTTATGATTAGAAGCCAAAACATTAAGCTGAAGCTAGAGTACCCCCTTAAAGATATTTCTGAACCAACCCTCTGCGTACTGATCATATATTTAAGCAGCTGAGAAACACAGGCAAGGCAAAGTCAGCAGAGGGATTCCTCACAAGGAGCCCTTCAGTCTCCTCCTACATTTTGGCCACATTTTAAAAAAAGCCATACTAAAATGATGTTCTCCTTTTCATTCCTGATTTTTTTAAAAAATCACTGTATGAATGGAATCTGTAAATAGGGTTTTGGAAGCAGATCGAGGACAAATGTGTTTGTAAATCCCTCTCCATGTTGTCACCGATCCATGTGTTTAGCAGGTAGATACTTAGAGCAATGGAACAGCCCTTCTTCCTCACAGTCATGAAGATCTGGAATAACTCCACGTTCAAGTCAATAGCATCTTACTGTGCAAATTAGTATATAGGAAAGATGCATCTTAATTATTAATCTTTTAATTTTCTGGAAAAGGTCTAGGAAGGCTGGGAGGAGATAAGGAGAGAAATACAGGTGCATCACCTTCTGATTGTGTATCCTTGACTGAATTAGTTTCATTGCTATAATGAAGGTTGTGTTCAACCCTGGATCTCTTGATAAAACGTATAAATGCAGCAATCATAGCTGGTTCTTAAATTATGACTGGCTGTGAGAGCAGAGAATGCAGATGATTTGCTTGATTGTTTTATTGTTGTTTACTGCGAAGAAATCTCTCTCTCACTGACACGCAGACTCATTTTCAGAATTAGAAAACTGCTCTCAAGGAGGCACAGGACCATCAGATGTATCTTCAGCCTTCAGTGTATTCCATGTGCTGAGCTAATGTGTGTCATTTGTAAGAAATGCCGAGACCCTCATTGTAAATAAATCTAGATTAAGGACGGATCAATTCCACGTCAGTGAATATTCATGTGTGAGTGGAAAGCCAAGGTGACCTCCACATAGGATCTATGGAATAGCAGGTTCTTTTTCTCTTACATTAGCTCAGTTGATAATTCATTTTTATTTAGCCATATCCTTGATAATTCATTCCTGCTTAGCTTTAGCCATATCCTTTATAATTCATTCCTGCTTATCAGTACCCATTCTTTATCTCCATCCTATCCTCAGGAACTTGCCAAATAATTCTTCCAGGCTTTTTTCAACTATTTCAAATTTTAAGCACAATATTGCAGCAATATCCTTCAACTACTCATAATATAGCAAAACTTGCTGTGGCTATCACTCAGAGATCCAGTGGGAATACAGTCACTGCCCCCATTTAAAGGAAAACAGCATTCTTGCTATTTTTATTCTGTATTTTGGATCAAGAAGAGTCATAGAGTGGTGATGAGAACACTAGAGGATGAGAGCTAGATCCAGCACAAGATTTCACTGCTTGATTCTTTCCTCTAAAGTAACTTGTGAATCATCAGATCCAGCCCCCACTTCACCAGATGTCCATGTAATGGCCAGAAGGATGCACAAAAACCCAAAATACTTGTAAGTTAGCTATAGTATAATGCAGGAAGCGCGCGGGAGAAATCAAAAGCAGTGCCGTGCGCTTCGATATGTCCTAGATCTGTGCAGATGCTGTCTTCAGGCATTGCAAACCCAAGCTGCTAACCTCCCAAAACCCCCACGCAGCTGATGTCTACCTACAGGACACATCTCCCAGGACACAGGCCATCGGGGGTTGATTTCTCACCCGGCCTGTAAGGGTTCAGGCCCCCATCTTCTACGCCGAGGCAGCTATGGAGTAGAAGAGGGATTTCCTGGTATGTCCCGCTAGCCTCTTCCAGGCTGTGGGGAATGTGCATTTATTATCTGGGTCAGATCGTAGAAGACAACGACTCCCAGTTCATCTTTGCTGGAGGACGCTCAGCTGAGAGTGACCTGCAGTCAGCTTCGTGCTTCTACAACAAATGCTTCTCCAGTTTACCAGAAGTGCTTACTGAAACAGAGAGAGGAACCCACAGCGTTACTCTCCCATCTTTCTGTGGCCCTATTCCTGATCTAGTTAGGGTCTGTACCCCAAAGTGTTCCCTTTCTGTCCCTCTGTGTGTCACGGGGACTTCCTGATCGCTCCCGCCGGCACAGCGTGCAATAGCAGCATGGACCCGGGGCGTACAGCACAGTCTTCCTTGAGATGTCTGGAAAAAAACACTGAGTACAAGAAAGCAGGAACTAGGAGAAAAAAAATATCAGTTCAGACTTCTTTTCATCAGAAATCCATCCAGGGCAGGAGATGGAGATCATCCCTAATTCCCACTGTATGTTGCGCTTGGTGAATTATTTCAGCAGCAACCAAGGCTAAATGTCTAAGTATGTTGAAATCTTTCATTTGGAGAAATGTCTGGTTTTCCTCAACATCTCTAGACTAATAATGTTGACTCTCTGATTTGAAATTTCATTTTCATTTCTAAATTTATCCATGTTTTGTGATGAGATGTTGGAAAAAGATTTTTAAAGAAGAAAAATATCCAAACCAAACAAAAAATATTTAGTGAGTGAATATTTGAACTGTTCTTGTATACCAAGTGTGTGTACGCATTTTCTTGTAAGGAGAGGGTGTTATTGAGAATGTATACACATTGTTGATCCTAAAACAAATAGAAAAATTCGGGAGCATGTCCTAGGTAATTTAAGCAGAAGGGATTTTACTAAATCCCACGGAGTTGTGCCTGTGTGTTTCAGGAATCATTTTTATCCCTCGGGATTTTCTGTATGGCTCCATGAAGGTGAGTTTCAGGGTCATTTGAAAAATGCAAATATCCTTTAGTTAACCAAGGCCAGATTTTTTTTTTTTTTTCCAAGAAGTCACTTAAGCAGGGTCTGATGCTTTAAATTGCGAATGGGACCAAGAAAGGGCGGCCTGACTCCAGTGGCAGCTGATAAGCGTGCTGTGGCAGCCAGAGCGTGAAGTCTTAAGGAATTATTGGCAGCTTTATACAAGTAATGACTGAGCAGAATCTTAAGAGAAGATTCCGATCTCACTGACTGCTGTAAATTAGAAATAATCCCAATCGCTTTGAGCTGTGTTCCGTATAATTTGTAGGAACACGGTCTTGACCGAAAAGCCTGGATTGGACCATTGCCATGCATGACTCACTTCTTTATTTTGTAGCCTGAATTTCCAATATATAAACAGACCTAGAGAGGTGCTGCCCCTGCCTACACCGAATTCTCTAGTGCCTTTTGTCCTTTCAGTTGTTAACGGCGCAGAATGTGGGGCTTCCACCACCTCCTGCCGAGACCTTTCAGTGTCTGAGAGCTCTTGTTGTTATGAAGTGTTTCCTGATGGTTCAACCTCTATTTCCCTTCCCTCAGCGGCATCCCCTTGCTTGTAGTTAAATACCCTCAGATCAAAACAGTGACATTTAAAGGCAGGCGAGCAAAACCGGCCCACAAAGTTAGCTGGGGCGGGTTCAGGAGAGCCTGCAGAGTCTCCTCCGGACCAGACTTCAAACAGACCAGACCGAGCCCATCCTGGGCAGCCTTTGCCTGCTCAACCCCTTCCTGTGCTCTTGCCCTCCGAGGGACAATTGCAGATCTCAAAGGTTAGTGGGCAATATCTCGATAGATATTCGCACACGACGCTACTATAAAGAGATGATTTCCACAAAGCCCCGTCAGCGTTTCTGAGTCCTTGCAAGCCCCTTGCAAGCTGCAGCGCCGCCCCTGGCCAGGATTTTCAAACTTGTTATGTGCTTGGGCGTCACCGGGGTGCCCTCAGGTGCGACTGCACCCTTGCTGAGCGCCCGTTACGGCTGACGTGGCGACGGGAAACAGATCGGTCCTCTGGCACACCTCCGAATTGCTCTGTTTCGTGCCTTTTTTTTTCTACAGCTCTTGAACCGCATCAAAACAAAGTGAAGCCGTGATCCCTGCAGCGCTGCAGGCTCCCTCTCCAGCCCTCGTGGCAGCTGCCAGCAGCGCTTTCCTCCCTTTCAGCCCAGGTTTTTTCTCAGAGGAGGGAGGCGATGCGGCACGCGTTCCCTGGGAGGGGAGCTGTGGAGGTCCCCGAGCCAGTGGCGGGACGTTTGGCACAGGAGAGCGCCTTGCTCATCAGCCTGGATTAGTTTTAACTTGCTATTTAAACAGATTACTTTGATTTATGTAGATATTTAGATATTTCTACCAAGGATTCCCATGGGTTGTCACTTTGGCAGGTTTCAAGAGTATTAAGTTTACATAAAGGGAAAAATATATATGATGGAGAAATATAATGGACACTGTCCTTTTAAATTTCTTCCCATTCTTGTTATTTATGGGTCCTTTAATTCAAGTCTTGGTGCCCCTAATTATGCAATATACAGTAGTTGGCCTCAGCTTAATATTATGTTATCGAATCCAAGAATGACATGGGAAAAAAAGATGCGTGCAACCAATGTACTGGTTTCAAAGTGAGGACAGCCTGATGAGAAATCCTCCTGGGGAAAAAAAAAAAAAAAATTGCATCAGGGACTGAAACAGATCCTTCTTTTTTTGATTCTTCTTCCCGCCCCCCCAGCAACAGAAGGTATCAAAAAATGAGCCTGATGAAAAGGACAACATTTCTCTCGCTTCCCTTTTTCTGATCTTTCTGTAGCCCAGAGTGCTAATCAGCCTGTCAATCTCTAATTAAAGAACAGCAGTGTCAGGCAGAAGAGAGCCATGCTGGCTGAATGTTAACTAGTAAAGGGGATTTTGTGCCCAGCAGTGACAGCGAAGAGCCGTGTCAAGAGGTGGGCTGGGGCGCCGGGGAGCGGGTCCGAGCCTGAGACAGCATCTGCTCGGGGATTGCTGGTGGGAAGAAGGAGCGGGACCGACGCGGCGGTGTAACGTGCTGCAGCCCGCGGTGCCCCCAGCAGCGTTCCTCTCGTGACGCTGGTAAAAACCCCTTTGGTTTTTCCCAGTTCCTCGTTACAGAAAGTGGTGGTTCCCTGTAGCGTAACCGGGGGGCTGATGATCGACACCTTCCCGCCGCAGCAGAGCTGCACGTCGGGATTAGCCCTAGGATTTTATAAGCCATTCTAGCGCTGGAAGCTTAAGGGAGCACGAGGCACACGTCCAGCCCGGATCTGGGTGACCTGCTGCTGCCGTGACTGCACACTAAGTAGTTGGACTTTGCCTGGGACTGCAGGAAGAAAAGAGGAGTCGGCTTTCTTTTTGCTGCTCTTTGTATGAAGCAGGATGCGCAGGGAAAGCCCAGCCTGGGGAGGGCTGAGGTTTTTTGTTATAGTCTTGTAGGATACCCCGGGATGGAAGAGACCTCAGGAGGTCATCTAGTCTTTTCTTGGCCATTTTGGGGCTGTGCTCTGCTAAAGTCAGTAAGAGATCTGCCAGTTCAGAGTAACTAAAAGTTCAACCTCTTCCTTCTTTAGCAGTATTTCTCTCAAGTTGCAGAAGGATACAGATGATCCAGCCTCTCCAGGAGCTGCTTGGAAAAAAATGGAAAAGACAATTTTTTTTTGGTTTTCTATAGGATTTGATAGATCCAGGCCTAGGACTGGCTTTAGAGAAGGACTGGGAGAGGCGTTGCGGAAAGCCTGCCTCAAGTCCGGACGCTTCCCTCCTGTTGTGCCACCCTGCAACTGACCCCCGTGAGCCCCCCCCGGTAGGGACGCTGCGCTAGCAGAAAACAGGTCGTGCTGTTCAAAGTGGTGGTATAACTGTGTCGGAGGAAAAAAAAAAAGCCTTTCAAGGTTCGTTGCATCTGCTCTAGGAGGCTCTCGCGGCGCAGCCACGTTGGTGTCTCGCCGGAGCAGGCAGGGCCCTGGAGATGCTGCTCTTGGGGGCTGAAGGCCGGCCGGCTGTGTGCTCATCCAAAAACTATTTGCAATATATATTTCTAAATTTGCTAACCCACCATTGGAAATCATCTATTTCTAGCCTATAGACTGTAGATTGAAATTGTTTTCCCAACATAAAAAATGCAATACAAATCCTATCATTTCAGATCTGAAACTTTTTGGTTTTATATTGCTTGCAGGGACTGAACGGTTTGGCTTCAGCTAATCAAGTAGAAGGAGTTTACAGAGTCCTCTGTGTGTCCTCAGGCTTGAGATGCTACCACAGGAGTAAAAGACAAAACTGGCTTTCTACTTTTAGCAGCCAGCCTCTTCTAGGCTCACCCCCTCTCATAAAATCTCCCATCCATAGGCTTCTGTGAATCCTCTTCATATAAGCTCGGGTTTAACCAGGAAAGCCCACAATTTCTGGGAGCTGATGTGTTTTCTTCAGAGGCTTCTCATTCAAGGGCTCGTGTGTACCTGAGCCGCCGCAGCAGCGCACGAGTTCCCAGTGTCTGGCCAGGAGGTGCCACGGCTGAAATAGGACCCTGGCGCCGCACTCCTGCGACACATTGCACGGCCCATCCCTTCTGGGAAGGACCCTCGGTGTTCCCTTCCCCGGGGAGTTGTCCCTAATTAGGCCTTCAGATACCTCAGCCCCAGAGGGGAGATAGGGAGGTGGATAAATACCTCGCTAAGGCGATTTGAAAGTCTGGGCTGCAGCATGATGATGCAGCGACTTAATGATGTTGCTGTTGTCACAGGGCCCAGGGACTCAGGCAGTCGCTTCCAATCAGTGCTGAGAGGTTAATCACACATTTACCTGAGCAGCAGCCTGAAATCCTCACCAAGAAATTAGGAGTGAGGGTGACTCTCGGTTGGTCTGGCACCTACAAGTGTAAGCAGTACCAGAAACGCGTGTCTATTTAGATGCCCCCCCTGTAGATGCATGAACCTTCACAAGCTGTTTGCTGAGGTTTTGGGATGGTCTTGTCCCAGAAATTGGTTCTAGTTTGGCATCGAATGCAGAACTGCACTAGTTTCAGAGCCAAAAAGAAAAAAAAAAAAAAAAAAAGCTTTTCTCTCACTTGCTCCTGAATCTTGCTCCTTACCTTTTAGCTGAAGTCATCCGGCTTCCTTCTGTGGTGTTTCAGAGTGAGAGATACACTGAGATGCCCACAGGGCAGGTGGTGGTGAATTCACCCATTTTTAATAAATAGATTTTAATTAACTTTTTAAAAAGTCCAGCTCATTCCAATTAGTGGAGGGTGACTGCATTTGTTCTGTCGGAGAGTGGGAGAGCCAGCGCTGTGTTTTCAAGACCATCTGCTCATGAATCCTTAAAAAAAATCAGAGAGGAAAACAAGTGTTAGCCGGAGGCAGAGAAAGGGTGAGGGCATTCTGGCAGCCGGCCGGGGAGGCCTTGCCAGCTGGGGGGGCTGGAGGCTGCCAGAGGAGCCGGGGTGGTCCTGACAGTTTTTTGGAGGTGGGGAGCGCTAATGAGCAGTGGGAGAAGGGACTGTAATTGCCTGAGTAAGTGGGAAGAGAGGCGGCAAGCCGGAGGGGTGAGTTTTGGCAGCCTCACAGGTGGGGAAGTTGCTATCCCAGCGGAGATGACTTGGGTAGCTGGGCTGAGATCTCAGGAGGGGACGTGCTCTGGGGTGCTACTGTAAAGGGGGAGGGGGTGCCGGGCAATTTGTTACCCTGAATACAAAGTGGTTCTGTTGTGGGCAGGAGGAAGGGGCTTCACTCTCAAGATGCCACCAGCGCCCGCAGCGAGCTCCGGGGTCCGGAGGTACCTGGAGGAGGGGGGGATGGGGACAGCGTGTGGAGCAGCTCTTTCCTCATTGCAATGTGAACTGTCATGACCGTGCTTTGAGTGTCCACGCTTACTTCATTTACTTCCCTTCCTTCAGAATTATCCCCCTATCTCCAGCTTCTGGTCTGAAGTCAGACGAGGTGGCTTTGAGAGCTGCAGAAGGGCCAAAATCTTATTTAATTATTCTCCCTGTCCGGCAAAGAGAAACATGTCCACTGTCCTGGCTGGGAGCAGCGGTTCACTCGGCCTCATTCTCTGTGCCCTCTAGGGAGACGATATCTTGGACCGCAGCTCAGAGTTGATCTACACGGGAGAGATGTCCTGGATTTACCAGCCTTATGGACGGAACCAGCAGCGTGTTTTCTTTCTCTTTGATCACCAGATGGTTCTCTGCAAGAAGGTAAGGACATCCAGGGGGAAAGCAGCACAGCTAAGGACATGCTGCGGACAGGCTTTCCAGTCCAAAGTGGTTTTTAGGGCAAGGTGGCTGTTTGTTACACGTGCAGAAGAGGACATGGATAGCACTGCGGAAGGGCGAGCCACATGCTAGAAATACTGAATTACAGGATGGTGAGTATACCACGGTAGAGGGGTTTTTATGCTCGTAGCAAATCCATCCTCCGCTTGTTCATTTTATGCCTTTTTCTCATGTGCCCTTTGTTTGGCTCCTCGCCTCACTTCTACTTTTGGGTTTTGGCTGCAGCATATGATCTGGGATTAGATGGCCCTAGATTTTCTACGTGACCTATGAAGCCTGGCGCTTGGGCAGCCAGCTCCATTACTGCATTAAAACGACGATCGCTGCCTCTCAAAGAAATCTCAGGCAGCAGCCTGGTGTGTAGCAGGGTACATGTGCTGTCACTTGGTGAAATGCATTTTAAGCCTCATCCTCGTGTAGCTGCTGTGCTGGATTTTACAGGGCATATCTCTGCCATGAAACCCATCATGAGGAAAAGGTCCCGAAGAATCGTGACGCTAATGTGTTGTATTATTAATAGCAGCAGGTGAACTGTGTTTGGGAGCGACCGTGTTAAGCAGCAGCGTCACAGCTGTGTTGCTGTAGTCCCGCTCAGGCGACCTCAGCTCATTACTGTTCGAAGTGAAGTGACAGAGCTCATAAGTCCTGGGTGCCTCTGTCTTCTGACAGAGCGGGATTCATTGACATTTGCACTGCAGCTGCACGGATGACTGTGCAGGGGGAGTCCCCTGGCCCAGCTTCAAGTGGGAGCAGCGAGGGTGAGCTGCAGGCGTCTCCGGCCAAACACACTGGGGCTGTGTTCCTGTCGCATCTCAGATGCTAAGGAGAGGTTGAGCAAGCCCCGTGCCGCGTGGCAGCCCTCCGAGGAGTGCCCTGCCGCTGCAGGAAGCAGCGTGGGTGGGGGGGTGGGTGGGTGGCTCCTGACTCACCACGGCATCACTGCCCGCTGCCGCGGTACGCAGAGCTGCGGCCTGTGCAGTTCAGTGGGTGGCACTTTCTTCTCCTGAGTCACGGTTGACTGAAATTTTGCCTTCTGGAATGCATGTGCTTATTTTTCTCCTCCTCGTTGCTGTGCCTTTTACTTCTTTCCCAGCTCTGTGGAAAAAAAAAAAACAAAAAAAAAAAAACAAACATAACCACAGCACAACAATAAGAAAGTCAAATGTTCAGAGAACTGTCAAAATTAATCTGGAAGTACGCAGCTGGGTTTAATTTTTAATCTCGACCTCCTACACTTTGATTGTGACCCTGAATTTCCGATTCGTTAGGCAGCATCCAGTTTGGCTCGCGCTGGGTCTGATCTGGAGGGATATCGAGCGTTCCCTTAAGTCCCAGGAAAATCAGAGCTGGGATTTCCGTGGTCATCAGTATGAGCGGGGAGCGTTCAGCGATTCACAGCGGGCTGCTGGGAGCTCGGAAGGCTGTATCAGTATGCAAACAGTGTTGGTGTGACACTGTCCTCTTCCCTTCTGTATTCTAAAGGCACTTCGTGGTGTGTGAGTGTGGCAATGCAGCACAAGAGGGGCCTTCACGGGAAGGCGCCCTGCAGATTTCAGGTGTCTGGGAGACGGCACGGTGCTCTGGGTCTTCCTGGCAGAGAGATTGGCTCCGTGTCAGGATCTGGCTCTTGCGCCACTGGCTGAGGTCTTTGTGGGACAGTGTGCCCACCGAGCTTTAGGGTGACAGGGCAGAGGGTGGCAACTCACCTGGTGAGCCCGATACGGGTTCGTGCTTCGTTGTAGGTTCTCCTTCTGCATCTCTGTTTCCAGCAGCAAACAGGAGTTGCTGTTTTTCAGGAGGCTGGGGTAGGAGGGGAGGTGGAGTTCCAGCTGGAGTGTCCCGTCTTGATAATGTTTTCCTTGAACATTGTCAGGAAAGGTTGTCTGACTGTGGAATTCAGAGAAGTGTTAGCTCACGTTCGGGGATCACGCATCCTATGTAAAATAAATGTCAATGACTTATCGCCTGTGTTGTCTTGACCCTTGTGTCAGGCTTTGCTGTTACAGCTCCCAACAGGCAACCATCTAGCAGGATAACCTCTGCTTTTGAGCCAGAGCGCCATATCCTGGGGCTTGCTTAGTGAGCCCACATTTATATCATGGTGCGGGAAGCTGGGACCAGCCTTCCTTACCCCAGGCTTTAAAATTATTCTCTGAGGGATATGAAATATGACCCACACATCCCGCAGAGCACCATGGCCCTTGGTCGTCTGCAGCACAGCCCGGTGCCACTCATAGGAATTAAAGTGCTTGAGAGTGGCGTGAGCTTGGAATATGCTTTCATGTCCCACTTCCACAGACCCTCAGGGAATTGGAGTTGTCTGAGTCCAGAAGGGAAAGTTTGAGTCTTCCAGAAGGTCTTGGAGCTCAGACTAGTCCAGGGCTTCCAGCTCCTCTGCCTTGTGGACAGGGAGAATTAAGTCCTTTACAGGTTTCCAAAGCAGTGGATTGAACAGCACCCTTTGTACTCCAGACCCAGGCAGTGAGAAAACGCATGGACAGCCTGACCTGTGGTTTGCCTGAGGTTTGTTTAGTCAGTGAGCCTGATCAAAGTTTTCAGCTTTGGTACCACTTACGATGGTGCATCTCAGTGAATCTTTCTCTTCAGAAAACCTTCTGCATGTTGGGGGTATGATACATCCTTAATGATGACACAGTCTATTTGTGAACACATTTATTTTTTAATGGTTGAATTTTACCTCTTTACTGGTCAAAAGAGATTTTTTAATAGAACTAAGGAACTGAACCCAACTCCTTATTTAAATATATCACAGATACTTGAGCTTGATGAAAGCGTGCTAGCTATCTTGAGAGGCTCCAGAAGACAAGCATATATGTCAAACAATATCTCCCACTCCTCCAGATCTTCATTGCAGTTATCTGCACATCATCCTCAGCTTCGTTACCTGTTGTCTCCCTGGTAGATGTTTGCAGCTGCAATAGCTCTGTGCTCTTGGATCCTCTAGCATTGCATATGGAGTTGACAGATACTGATACATGAGTTTCTGATGGAACAGATACAGTGCGATATCATAAGCTCTGTGACAGTTTTGGATGTTGGTATTCTCTGTCGTTCGCTTTGATCTCCATTGTCTGCAAAACTTGTTACACAGTGGGCAGAGACTGTCAGATTCCTACTCACTAGTTCGTGCGGTGGAAGATGAAATAATTTCTATGTGGCAAAACTGGGTGGAATCAGCTTCGTGCCGGTAGGCAACGGTGAGGTGTTAGCGGCATTCGCTGCTACCAGTAGATGTATGTTAGGTCCAGGCAGATGGTATATGGATTCCTGCGATGTCTGGAAAAGTGCTGGTGAAAGCCAGTTTTTCTTTTGCTGCAAAAATTTCAGCAGCATTCTGCTTCCAGCCAACCGATGTGCTGGATATATCAGTCCCAAGAGAGCACGCTGCTACATACAGGCCCGCAACCCCTCTTTGTGTCTGTATTGCAAGCTGCTGATCCTTTGGGCAGGCTGTATTGCTGCTGAACCCAGGCAGCGTATTAAAAAATTCTATTTATAGCCAAGGTAGCAACTCATTTTGTACCCGTTATTTAAGGTCAGCACTGTGTGCGAAGTAACACATCATCCCACCCCCATGTAGGTTTGGGTTTCTTCGTAGCAGTCTTGCTCTCAGCTAGTAAACAGTGAGGACTGCTCCAGCTCAACTTCTCTGTGTCCTTTGTGTGGCTCTAAAGACAAGTCCACATTCTCCCAAACCATCTTCATTTCTGCCATCCGTCTGTTGGATCAGGTGTGGGCCGGCAGCTGCACAGGCAGATGGCCTTGGAAGGCTTTGGCAGGACTCCTGCCGTACGCTACCAAGAATTGCCATGTTTCTTTTTCCTACCGATCCGTCCGGTGATGCCTGTGTCTAAGGACTAAGGTCTGTTGGCTCTGGAAGTATTTCTAGTATTCCAGAGCTATCTGCTTTCAGCAGCAGTTAATATATTTCCACATAAACCCCTGCCTACTTTCCAGAAGCTTTGCCATCCCTTTCTGTTGATGTCTGAAAATGTTTCAGAGTTACGGGGCCTTTTTTTGCTGGACATCTGGCCGAGGCACTTCTGTGAGGGAGGATAATTCTCAGGGTGATTCTTCTTGGGATCCTCACCTAGTTGTTCCCCTGCTTGCAGAAGATCATCAGTAATGCCCGGCCAGCCATCTGGCAGACAGGAGCTCAGTGATCAATACTCACTGTATTTATTAGTTGTTCCCAAATATTTCAAGCAAGGTTTCAGTCTTTTGAAACCGTGGGTGTCCACAAATCTCTGCAGGTTGGAATCACCCCCTTGCATCCTATTGCTCACCCGGCTCATCACGGTGACCTGCTGCTCAGCAGATGGGTGGGATGGACCCAGAGCTGCCAGTGGCAGCAGCTCCTTGAACGGGAACGTCCTTGTCTTCCCCCTGGCTGCATCCCCTGGGATTTTTCCAAGGGCTTTTGCAACATGAGCTGAGCCAAGGGTCTGTCTTTGCCGGCGGGCAGATGGGTGATTACCTGCTTGATGGTTGGTTTGTGTGCAAAGAACCAGATATTGGTATAGTCATTAATATGACTGTATTGAACTATATGGGAATATTAATAGGACTATAATGAACTAGTCATTAATATAGTTCAGCTGTCAGGAAAGGAGTGATGGCACTGGTCAGGTCGAGGGGCAAAGCTCCGACCTTTCCCTGGTCGCCAGTGTAAGTGCCACCTCCTCAGACTGAGAAATCCCGACTGCATTTCCATGACCACTGCGTCTTGGAGAACTGACCAGACTTCAGGCAGGGACCTAGTTGATGAAAATGAGTAATTATAAAGGGCTGCAGTCCAATGTGCTTGACAGATGTTATCTCCGCCAGTATGGGTACATTTCAGTCTTTCTTCCAAGCAGGAAACTTGCACTAAGATTTACGAGGGCTGCATGAATAAGAGC